CGGGGCTCGGTGCGCGTCGGGGAGAAGCCGAACGGAAAGTGGCGTGTCGGCGAGGCAGCGGGGAGCGACAGCGCGTGGCGGGACGGGGTGGCCGCAGAGCGCGAGCGAAGGGCCCGATCGGGTGACGCCGCCCACCGTGTCACCGAAAACCGCGTCGCCGCGCCGCCTTCGCTTGTTACGTGACGCACTCGCCGCCGCCGCCTCCCCTGCGGTGAACGCGCTCGTTCTTTTCGCAAGGGCCGCCCAGCGGAACGGAACTCGTACATTTTCTGCGAGGGAATTAAAAGCGATGTGATGCATTTCAAAACTAGTACAATTTATTGATTTATTTCATTACAATATTGGAAAAATTTACGAGAAACACTTCTTAAGTTACAATATTTTTGTTGTTCTGTGCTGAATTATAGAACAAACAGAATTTTTAAGTAAAATATCTGTACATCCACACATTCTCAACTGCCCCCCACTGCGTGAGGATGTATTTACTTGTATTATAGGTAATATCATGAGTGCTATGGAAAATTCCACATTTTGGAGATGTAAGAATCTTTCTGGAAATTTCCATCGAGCAAGTGGTATTTGACAATATTATTCAAGGAATTAAATTATTCCAAACTCTTAATTAATCCGCCTGTTTTCTATTTTATTGATGAAAGTCAGACGTTCGGTGCGGACCGCATCCTACGCCTCCTTCCATGTGTAACAGGTAAGTCTCTCCGCACTGAGCCGAATCAGGACCTCCTGTTAAGAAATGCATTGATGATGGTAGTAACCTGGGAAAAGTGACGAGGACAACACTTATATTATGATTGTGATGAGTATTCAATTACCTTTTTTTTTTTGTTAAAAGCTGCAGCTTGACCTACCAAGATAATTTCTGATACTAAATTGTAAAATGTTGTTAAGTTCTGTAATGTTAAGTTAGTGTATTCGGCCACCAAGTTTTCAAACTTAATTGCAGAATTATTAATAAATCTAATCTGATCTAAATACTCACCAGCCAACAGCCACTACGGAGACACTTTTCTGGCGCACTATATCATAGCTTGTGAATGGCCAGTAAAGAGAAAGGATAAGAAAAAACAAAACTTTATTTCGATGCACCGCACAAAGATAAGTTGTCAGACCCAAAACGTGACACATATTTCTTAATGCATTTCGATGCCCAGTAACCGAATCTGAATCCAGATTTGTGTCACTACCCTCAACTTTTTTTTAAATCGCCAAAACTAATGAACATTTTCCGGAGACTGTTATTAGACCCAAAGACCTCTTTCTCTACGTACGTAAACGCTCTGAATCCGAACCTGAAGCCAGAGTAGCGCCACTACCCTCAATTTTTATTAAATCACTTAAAAAACCACAGTGAAATTTACAATCTACAATTTCACAGTGCTTTTTTGTGGTTTAAAAAAGCTAGATGGTAATGGCGCAATTCAAGCTTTACAATCGGATTTAGAGCGTCGACAACAATAGAGAAACGTGTGCCGGTCTGATAACAGCCTCCGCAAAAGAACTACATTTGTTTTGGCGGTTTAAAAAAATGAGGGTAGTGAGGCAATTCTGAATTCAGATTCGGATACAGCGCGTGGAAATACATAGAGAACATGTCTCCAGTTTTGGGTCTGACATCTACTTTTGGTGTGAGATTGTGTAATCTTTGTTTAAAAAGCGCATGTCTAAAACTGAATAGTAGATTTGGAACCTAAAAAACAACTTACATGTATTTACTAATACCTTAATTTCAATTTCATAACGTTTAAATGAAGCTCAGTATAATAAAAGCAAACCGTAAGAGAAGAGTACACCGAACACAAAATCCTCAGCACCTGTGCATGTGCATTACGCAGGTAGGCACTTAACAAGTGTACTTAACTCTTTTGTTCGGCTAATGTCCGCGCGTTACAATAAAATACGAAGTGTAACTAATATTTGTGTTTAGGCTATTCTTGCACACTGAGAAAGTATTTTACAGAACATACTCGTATACTTAATATAAAGTTTTTGAACGAGTGAATGGAGTACAACATATTTCAGATGTCTCAGTTATTAGCTAAGCGTTTTTTCTTTTTCTATTGTAATCGATTAATGAAGAATCAGTATTTTCTCCTTACAGAAATCATCTTAACTAAAGCAAATGTCTATTGAAAATCTAATTTTTGAATTCAAACTTATAGACAATACCATATTAGCAACAATCAAGTGAAAAAACTGTCATCTCTATGAAATGCAACAACCGTTACAAGGGTGTAACAGTATTACTTTTATAATAATTTCACTTCACCCAAACTGTCATGAATAGTTTTAGTAGCTTTGGCGTTAAAGAAATAAAACAAAAATTGCATGTACATAAGTCAATGGCCATAATGTATTTGAGACAACACAATACTAGAGGATGTGTATTGGTAAAGTTATTAACGAACAAGATAAGTACGTCGAAAATTTATTTGGCCCAAGCTTTTGTCATTTCTAAAATATTGTTACTTTCATTCGTTTTAGTAAATATAAGCACAATTTTCTGTATGAACTTTTGGTCTTTGAATATTTCTAACGAAGGAAACAGATTTCTAGAATATTTAAAAGTATTTTATGTCCATTACAATAATTAGTGGAAATATGTGGGTTTTGCTATCAAATATGGGTTATTTTAACTTATAAAATATTTGAATACCAAGAGGTATATTAAATGCAGTGAATAAAAATATATTATTCTTGTAACCTGTAAATATTATAAATAAATCATTTTTAACCTCAAAGAAATTACTTTAAAAAGTTCATTTTCTTAACAAATATGAATTTAGTTACGCATTTGATATTCTAGATATCTCAGGACTTCATTTCTATTTACTTTTTACTACTACTTTTTCAAAAAAGATAACAATCCTCGCCCAACAAAATGACCTAAATCATAGATTTATTTTCGATGTAAACATTGATTATAAATTAAAAGAGATATAAAAATCACTGAGTGTTTATTGTATTTTGATGTCTCATTTGGATAAATCAAACATTTTACATTATTGCATCCAAAAGCATTTAATGAACTATTTATTTTATTCGACCTCTGGTAACTTTTTGTAGTTTTCGGATATAAACAAGTACAGAGAATGATGTAGGGGAAATATTTAGGATAAAGTAAAATTATTGTTATTCGATATACAGATTTCGGTGGTGAAATTGTTTCTGAGAGCCCTTGAGGCGAATAAAGTAGCACGCTTTATAGCTGGATGCGCATGTGTGTTCCTCATATAACTTGGGCAGATTAAAGCGTTTCAGCTCTCAACTTGGGACACATATCAAAAGTAAATTATGTTTATTATTTTTTTTAAATGTTGGAGATTGGTGCTGGTAACGATGAAGTACATGAAATTTTGTACTAAAAATTGGGTAAAATCGTAATGATTGTGGAATGTTTCCTAAAGAATAAGAGCAGATTCAATGGTTTAGGATGTAATGCTCCTCAACCAGCTGGTACCTTAGTCTACAAGATTTACTTGGGTGCGATAGGTGAAAAAATATATACTTTCAAAATAGAAAGTACTAAAAAGTCGAAAAAATATAAATTTTACCAGACTACTATATCTGAGGCAAATCTGCCTTCAAGAAAGTATCACCTGAATAAATTTGTACGTTTCGACCTAGTCATTACAATACCTAGATTCTGCATTTAAGGGGAGGCATGTAGGCACATCTCTCATAAATGTGGCTGTAAATTTGACCCATTATCTCAAAAACTATTCACCGAATGCTGTAATATTTTCTAAGTACTCTGGTGAAAAAGTGATAAGTAAATTTAAATAACACATTTTAAAGATTTTGCAATTTACAACAAATTTAAAATAAAAGTAAAAAATTTTACAGTATTGTTTTCTGTTTATGAACTTCTATGAGATATCCTTAAGTGTGAAAGTAACTACACTAATTTTGTTACCATATATTTATTATTACTTAATTGATATCTGAAAGATATTGAAAATTATCACTTGAGTAGTTTCAGAGATAATGGGACAAATGTACTCAAAAATACATTTTTCATACACGTTTGCCGCGTAAAAAGACATAGAAGGTGAAGCTTTTCAGTGCAAGTAACATTAAAGAATGAACTTTTCTCCGGCATTTAGTGAAAACTAGATCCTTAAAGATATAGATGAATTTCTTAGGACCATCCTTATAGATGAATTTGTTCAAAAGGTATTACTAAATAAGAGACTAGTTATCAAAATTACTGCCATTCTGAAAAACGCAAAGCAAGGAAAAAAGAACAAAACATATGTTATTGTAAAAGAGGGAATTTTACAATGATTTAAATGTAATTTTATTCAGAAAATTCTAAGCACTAAAAAACTGCCAAATTCCTCAAATTCTCTCTCTCTCTCGTCTGCTCTCCTCTCTCTCTCTCTTATATAGTAATATATATATAGTTATATTATATATATTTATATATATACTATATATATTACATTCTATGGTCACAACGTCACAATACTAACTTAACCCCATCACTGGCAATCACTGAATTCCCCAATCGTTTCTAAAAATCGAGTAGTAAGACTCCATGGCGTGCTTCATATACTAAAATAAATAAATACAAACAAATTAATATCGTCTTCTACAAGGTTGGGCGATTCTGTTTGAAGGAGTAGATTACATTGCCATGGGTACCTTTGAACGTTTACCTCTGCAAGTTCTTGCTGATTTTTCCTCAGGTCGTGTCTCGTTCAAATATATATCGTGGCAACAATACACATCGGAAGGGCGTTTGGGGGTACAAAGGTGCGCGCGTATTACTGCAAGTGGTAGGGGGATGTTTACGGAGCGGAAATGAAAAGGTCACAAAAAACGCAAGAGCAATCCGATTACTCCAGCTACGGTCAGCTGGGATCTCCGAAGAAGAGAAGAAAATATGATTACTGAGACCATAGCAAACACACTGCGAAAAAAAATTAACGAGACGTCGTAGAGGAAATGGCAGGATATAAAGTTTCAGATTTTGAAGATAAATTTAATACGTTTTCAATTGGTACAAAAGTTCGATTTCAAACTATACATACATAGTTTATATTAACAATGGTGTTTTAAATGGTAACTAATGGTTTCAAGTCACAAACTGGGGGAAAAATAAATTCATAACATTCTTGATTTTGCGATTTTAGCACATTAAACTAGAATAAATTATATATATGCAAATAGAATTAGAACATTAAAGACGTATAGATTCAAGCTCAAAGTTACAGTTGTATAAGAATAGATTCATGGTGTTCTATATTTCTGGAACTGTCTGCAATGAGCCTTCAGTGTTGTTCCTAAAGGTTATTTTAGGGTTACTGTAATACCTCTCTTGAGAATTGATGTACATTTGTTGTGGCTGTCAACCCCTATAAAATGTTCGAATTGAATCCTTAGCTGTTGGTTTTCGAATCTCCAAATTTTGCTGCTTGGATCTTCGCTATTGATAATTCATTATTCAACAAACCCTTCTTTACAAAACAGATAAATAAAGTTACAAGGATAATTATGTTACTTGATTCCAATTCGATAAATTTGCTTATTTGTTCCCATCGTTTGTTTTCTATCATTTTCAGAAACCTGCGACTTTATTGGATACCGAATGATCCTTCTATGACATCAGCTTCCTTTGAACCAAAGAACAACTCGTGCAACACGATAGCGGTGAAATCTGAAAATAAAATTGTTTCAAAAACACTGAAGTTGATTTAATGTCAGGAGGAGATAAATGAGCTGACAGGCACACGTGACAGGATGAGGACAGAAGATCTGATTTTTGCAAACAAATGAAAAGCGAGCCCCAGACATTTCAATAAACGCCCTTTATTTCCAGCTCAACTGAATTCACATTTCAATGAATTTTTAAACACATGAACGAGAGGTAATGGGCAAAGGAGAAAAAATGATTCGTTACGTATTTTAGAATCGTATTAATGTCATATTGGAGGTAACATGTTTAACAATAATGGGTGATTGGTTACACATATTAATTTCAAAACATCATTGCAGTTATCGTGTGTAATACTGTTTCTTCAAAATACTTTTCCTCTTATTATATGCGCACATATTAAAGCAAAATGTTCATTTTATGTGATCTTATTTCACTAGCATTGCTTTGAACACTACGTTTAAGCGCGTTAATTATTAATTAATTTGTTTCCGCTGGTTTCTTACCATCACTGGATACTGTGAAAAGTGGAATCAATGTGTTTGCTAGTACTGTGTATGTTAATAAGAGCAGAACTGAGAATCTAGTATTTCGAAAAAATATTTTATTTATCAGCTTTCATTTAGCCCGTAATGTTTTATAGTAGCCCTTTGACAAAGGTAAGGTGACTAGTTTCTGTTAACATGGGGGAAAATGTTTTCTCCGGCATTACACATGTACCGTAACTTGCAGATGAACAAAAAAATGGGTTTTATACATTCAAAAAATGCCAGTTGTTCGTAACACTGGATTTCGTGTTTATTATCACCATATAAACCAAAACTTAAACGTAAACGAAAAACTGCACGTAGAACAAAATAACGTTTCGAGCTTTTTCAGCCTCCTCAGTGTAGTTCAAAAATACAAACACATGAAATCTCACAGTGTAGTGAATTATCTGAGAACATAATTTTATTCGTAATAATGGAGGACTTGAAGACAATTTGTTTACTAAACAAGAACTTCGTAAACGAACGCCTTTACAAAATAGAGAATATAAACAGCTACAAATTCTTTATCAATATTCTTTAAGGTATAAACATACCCTTTATCTGAGTTGGAATCCAAATTAAGATAATACGAGCATAATATGACTGGGGTTTTTGGTAATTTAATAAATGAGTGGTGCAACCTCATTCTTCTATTACAAAATCTCAAATAAGTTGTCTATGTTCACTTCTTTGCCTATTTTTTAAAAAAATATTGAAATCTATAATATGGTTGAACAAATTATTTAATTATGAAAGGAAACGTCTGTTTTATATCGTGTTAATAAATATTGCTCACATTCTAACTAGTGAGATAGATACGCTATTTACAAGGTTTAGACCAAACAATATTTTCTCAAAAATTTCAACATTATTCTCATTCGTTAATACCCCCACAAAACACTCTAAACATTCAGCTGAATGAATTGTTTACTCATCCATTTCGCTCAATTTTGCTCATATTCAGAAGACATTTTAGAAAACTACGTTTCAGAAACACGCTTTAAAGCATCTGAGAAGAATGGAAATTTAAGCTACTACGTTATTTACGAACAGGGAACACGACTTCGCAGTTATTCCTAAGTATGACGTTAGGAAAGGAGGTATTCAGGGCGCGGTTTTCTCCCGCGGAATGGCCGACATTTTTCACCTGCTCTGTATCGCGTGCCTTCCTCTGCGGTCATCTTTTAAGCATCATGCTAACGGCCTGCTTTCGCACGCCTAGAGGAAGAGGAACAAGCCGCAAAGAGCTACTTAAGATGAGTCAGAACTCATTTTACGATATGGCTTTCGTTTTATACATTAGCTGAGATTCCACAAAAGATCACGTGATGGTAGCAAATAAGCTGAGCGATTAGATGAACGAAAATAATTAACAGATCTGCATCACATTTCACGTTTAATTAAGTTCGACTACTTCAGTGATATTAATTCCATTGAAGACCTTTTTAATTGGCTTAATGTTTAATTGTTAGCATAATGGGACTTATCCCTCAGCAAAGATCTTGAAATAAAAGGTAAAATCATTCTCTGTCACATTTGAAGGGAGAGTAACACGCCACAATATGCCCATTACATTAGTCAAAACTCATTTTATGATATCGTTTTAAATAAATGTAGTAAGGCACTGGCCGCACTTTTCAAAATGTGTCCTTACAAAAAGCAATCTCTTAAAACATATTTCTCACTATTACTGCTCAAAACTGTCTGGGGAGGAGCTGCTCCTTTCGTACGTAAAGCGCTCCAAACATTCCGAAATAAAATCCTTCGCACTGCCGTCACAGCGCCTTAGTACGTGTGAAACAAGCAACTTCAGAGATAGTTTGTTCTTCACACTATTGATCATTATGTCAGGCACCAGTCTTTTCTTTTTCTTTTCACTCTCCCCTGTAACTTCCATATTCAACCTAGGAGAAACGTGTAACAACCGCAGAAGAATCAAAACTAGATTTTCAAAAGATTAATTTAAACCGCCTTAATGAGAAACGAATGATTTTTCCAAAATCATTTTCTGAACTGTAACTGTATGAGAAAATGTAAAAAAGTTTTCAAAAATTAAAAAAAATGTGATATCATTTTCTTTTATCATTGATTAAAGTCAAGTTAGCTGTTGAAAGAAAAATTAAATTGGAAAATACATGATAATAATAGCATAACAGTTAAAGATTCGTGAACTTCAATTATGATAGTAAAACACTTAGTTAGGGCTTTTAATTTCGAATTGTTAACGAAGTAAGTTAAATTTTGTGTTGAAAGGTCACTTTAAAGATTCTTATACAAAATTATAAAGAGAATGGGCTGACCATAGTTAGAAAATTTATAAGGATCTAGGAAAGTATTTCAAAGGTGTATGTGCAGTTCAAACATAAAAATGTCTGGTTTCAAAGAATTTTGGAAGTAATAATAAAAGTAGTGGTGTTAAACCAGCACACACTTCCTCGCCTGTAATTTCAGGCAAAATTACGCGAACAATACTCAAATTTTCGAAGAATTGTACATGACCTTATTTCAAAATATACCTTTAAGAATCAAGTTCCATTAAGGAAGAAAATCTCTAATTTTTAATTTTTTAGTGGTAGGAAGTCTCGGAATTATTTTTCACTTTCGCAATTTTCAAAAACTTAGCGTTTTCATCAAATATGAGACCTGCACCCTTGTCTTAAACGTCGTTTCCTCTCCAACAACATTTTTTTTCAAAAAAAAAAAAAAACAGGAGCTATTTTTTTAGGGGCGTTATGTAAATGATTCCCCCAAAATTGAAATACCAGTTTTTAAGTCAAAGGACCGCAACGTCAGCCTGATTGATAGGGGAATATCAACTTTGGAGAAAATCTGCTGAACGGATTAGCCACTAGCGTTGTTCACAGATGGACGGACGGACAGAGAGACATTTTGGCGTCATTCGATTTTCAGTATTCGATTTTCGGTACCAAACATCGATTCTGGCTAAGCAATAGATTTGCCTAGATGCAATAGAGGATTTGTTTTTAAATTTAGGATCTGGATTCATCCACTTTTTCGTTACTAGGATTCTGTAGTAACAGTTTTCTGCCGCGCATTTGCCGTTTTTCGAGCAGTAAAACATAACTATCTCTCTACTCTGTAGTAGTCTTAAAAATACGTTTGACCAAGAGAATCTGTATAATAGGTTAACTATTTTATTTCTTCTATACGCCATTTAATTATTTATTAGACAACTCATAAAAATGTTTTGCAATTTTAACCATTATGACAAGGAGAACCTTCATAATGTGTATATGTAGAACGACGTCAAAATTTGTAACATTAAATTTTATTTTTACATAAATATTATTGTGTGTATTTTAAACAATTTTGTTGATGTTTTAAATTTGAACAAATATTCCGACACAGCGTTATTTTCTGCTATTGCTTATTCAGTGGCACTGCAGACTTTAATTTTTTATATGCCTTAAATGTATATTTGATGTATTTAATAATAGATGTAGTATAGTTACGTAATTTATTTTGATAACATGGTATAAAACACAAAACATACAATTACCTTAATAACACATATTATCTAGCGCCCAAAATAAATTCAACATAAAATAATTACAGAGGAAAACCAGGAGTTGCAATCATATTCTCCCGAGAACAATGAAGAAAATTAACAACAAAAAAACATAAAAACACAAAAAACAATACCCAGGAAAACTTCATCCACAGAGACATCCAAATACCGTCTAGACAGCCCTCATCCATCGACCAATTGCCTTCCTTCCCTCCACAAGACAAAGGCATTTGCAGCGCGAGATAATTCATCGCAATTAATTAAACTTGTAAATATCTTTTAGAAGGACGGCTCGGTGAGGAAGTCCCATTAAAATTCCATCCCGTTTTAAACGCAGATATTACTCAGTCCCGCGTAATCAGAAATAAATCTTTCTCCCGGAGCCAAAGAGCGCCGAAAAAAGAGGGGGAATATTAAATTTAAGGATAGACTAAGCTCATAAAGCACGTTAGCTTTATCTTGTTTAAAAGTGCGCGACTGGGGCGCCTGGGCGGGTATAATTCCGCAAACTGGATAAACTCTAGAGTGTCTAGAATGTCGCGAAATTCCCTCTGATTCACTGTCCATAAACACGGGCCGGTTTAAAAATCCATAATGCATGAGGAGGCGCCGGCGACGGCCGTTCGCGCGCCGGCGCAGGTTGCGAGACGCGGGTAATGACGTCACACCCTGATGACCCCGCCCCCTCCCACCCCCGCCTCCCGGGGTCGAGGAGACGCCGCCGCCCTGTCGCTTAAGTTGGCGCCGTCATGTCGATGCCCTTTCTGGGCGGGCGCTGTCCCTTAACGATAAGAGAGGCGGTTATAGCGAAGAATATGGGCGGGTGTTGGACGAATTTATTATCCCTGAGGTGATATAATATTTTTAAAGAGAGCAATATTATATTTACGTGATTAATAAACATTTTTTAATACTGTACTTATACAATATGCAGCTCACTGTAC